TCTGTTGTAACAGGTTTCTCCTGGTGTTCTTGGATTCGACAGAGGCGTTAAAAGGTATGGCTCAAGGGGATAGCCACTATCACCTGACATAAAGAAATAGAAATATCAAGGAACTGTTTTGTAAATCACTGTGCCTTAAAGAGTTTACAAAAGTTATGACAAGTTTTGTGAATATTTCTCACTCTATTAAGTTTATATCTATATTAAGCAAATCAACTTTAGATCAACTAGTGTGCAAATTTTAAATATTGCCACCGCACTAAATTCCAACATAGAGAAGATAGAAGAATTGTGGGAAAAAGTCTATAAGAACTACCCTGACTTTGAGCCAGAATATCATACACCAAGAGATGGATACTGGGACGAATGTGCACAGCTCCCTGAAGGAGAAAGTATTCCACTCAACACAGACCCACGCAACTACGGATACTACAAGAAACAACAACAATACAAGAGAGGAAAGATCAGTGATCCAGGTGGACAATCGCCAGATAGAGAATCGGACGCTACAAACGCTAGCGAGGAGCTTTCATGTATACGATCCAGCCAATTACGATCCGAAGACAGCAATTCCATACTTATTGCAACAAGCACATCAACAACTCCAGAACGGTACAGCAGACAGTGTTCGACTAACACTCAAATGGATTCAGAGAGTTACGAACTACTACCAGAACTATGTGGATCACCCACATCACGGACAAGTAACCCAAACAGCCCCATGGGTAAGATTTGTTCACGACAAGATACCGGGACTAATAAGAGCGATCGAGGAACTAAGAAATTATGGGAAAACACTACAAGGCTGGAAAGGCAGCCTGGAAAGGATATCGGAAACCTGGAACTACCTAAAACAACACTCAAGGTACGGAGCATGGGGGAATCTGGATCACCTAGACAGGGAACTACACGTCGTAGAGGTACCGAGGGAGGATCAAGTGAAAAGACCCCTAGTCCCAGAAGATCATTCAGAAACCCCAGTGGCAAAGAGAACAAGACTACAACAAGAGAGGAGGAGGAACCAACAATCACCAGAAAGAGAAAAAGATCAGAATTCGGAACAGGAGGAGAGTCAAGAGAACAGCCTAGAACAGCGAGGAGAAGAATTGAATTTTCATTACGCAGTTCAGAAGAACGTGAGACTGGACAATCGAGCGATGATGAATGGCAGATACTACTCGATACAGTACCCAGTTACCAGACTCCAGGACAACATAATAACAGACCTAAAAGAAGAAATGATGACACTAACAATGAACAATATCCCAGAACCACTATATTTACTACACCCAAGTGTCCTACTCCACCTCTCATCATCCTCGACGACGATAACATTGATGAACAGTGCATCCAGAATAATAAGGGAGAACTTTATACAGAACATATTAAATTGGAGCCAGAAACAGTCTGATACCAACGAAATTGAAGAAATATATATACAATCAAGTGGAGAGTCTGTATCAACTGAGACAGGACAACCTACAGGAGGACCTGAGAACAATAATACTGGGAAGACAAGACGACTCAAGGTATTTACTGATGAACGAGCCATCACAATGGCACCTAGGAAAAAGAAAGTTCCAATTATTCATACAGGGACAGATTTCAGATGACAGGAGGAAGATCTTTCAATTACGAGCGAAAAACGCTCCTGCAGCACGCAAACTATACTTCATGAACAGAGAGAAGAAGAAGAAGAGATTAGACCAGGAACTAGCAAACAACCTGAGAGAAATAGAACAACTAGTACAGAATTGGGAGGAAGACGATCTGATGATGACGGATCAGAACCAGATGAATTATGGGAGAACATCTTCTCCTTCGTCATCCACGGAAGGGACCTTGGACCTGGAACAGCCTCAAGATGCAAGTTCGCATACGTCAAACATGGAACAGGAACCCCAAGAGAACACATCCACATCATCTTCAGTGCATACTTCACAAACAAATGGAGAACAGTGGATGGAATTGCTCAGGCATTTGAACTTAACGAAACCCAAGTTGCAATTGCTAAAAGGAGTCTTATCACAATCAGGCATCCCCACAAATATGCAGTATACCTTAGCCGCTCGGGTATCCGAGGAAGGTGGGTCCACTATAATGGTGGAGTTCAAATGATAAGAGACTTCCTAACAGAATACCAAGGAATAATTGAGGCAGAGAATATTGATGTAGAGACCGGATTAACATACTGTGGTCAACAACTAGATAAACTGAGAGATGAGAGATCAGTATCAAAATCAAAGGTAAAGACATATGATGTTCAACTAGATCAATGTATGGAGCTATTCAACAAATACAGGCCCTTAGCACCAGGCCAGATCAAGAATAAGATACCACCACATGAAAAGATGAATATGTTTAGGGTATATGGACCCTACTACAGTAATGTACTTAAAAATTGTCATGATATGTGGCTCCAGATGGAAAATGAGGTAATGAGAAATATGACATACCTAGAAAGACTACGATACGTATACAAGGAGGATAGACCATTAACAGAACAAGAACTTGACATGGTCTACAAGTTTGTTAATATTATTGAGAGAAACAACATCAACTTCAAGGATTTTATTGCAAAGTTCTGCTACGTATTCAACGGAGTAAATTCAAAAATTCATGGCTTTGTAATGAGTAATGAGTAATGCTGGAAAGTCGTTAGTTGCAAAGATCCTGTTGCACAATCTCCACCCAACAAAGATAACAAAGAACTCGAGCGGAAACAACTTTAGATTCTCTAGGTTGCCAGATAGTAATTCTGTCTTATGGGAAGAAGCCAGTATACCGTCAACTGAGGTGGATCTCTGGAAATCTATATTAGGAGGAGAAGCTATGGAGACAGATGTAAAGCATCAAGATCATCAGGAAATACCGAACATCCCTTGGATAATAACAACAAACAGAGAGATTACAGAACGTCTAGAGGGAGAGGACAGAGCAAGCATTCTCAACAGAATTTTCAAATTTGAATTCAAGAGAGTGTTGGCAACTCAGGACACCGAGCCCTATATAAATAAGGAGATCATCCAACTGTGGATTATGCCTCAGTCGCCTTAATTGGCAGAAAGCAAAAATACAGAGAAAAATTGGAAACAGTCCAAAATGAAGCTGCCAGAATCATTCTGGGTGCCCCGAGGTGGACAAAGGTTCCCAACCTCCTAATGGAGGCCAACCTTTTCCCCCTGGACTCACGAATCGATCAAATGGCAGCCAATTTTTTTGCAAAGGTCATCCAGACTCCCAGGAACACTAGCTTAAGAGAAAAACTAGTGAGACGCCTGGAACAAGACAACGAGCTGTTCGCCAACAACTCGTGGCTGTCCCACACAGCCAGAGTACTGATAAGGTTTGAGCTGAAAGAGCAGCTTCTCACCAAGGGTATGGACTCCCCCCACCCTGGCTTTGTCGAAGCCCCGCCGTGGGCGACAAACTCGATAGAGTTCTCGGTGATGAAACTACCGCTGAAAAAGAGCGAATATCCCACGCCTGGTCTAAAAGCAGAGACCTACAGGGTCATATCAGCCATCACCCCCCCGGGTAGTAGAACCTACTACACAGACGGATCGGTCGATCCAACCAACCACACTGCAGGCGCCGGCTTTGCAACAAGGGATGCCATGCGCTCCATGAGAGTGCCTGACAACGCCTCCTCGCTACAGGCAGAGGCCGTTGCGATCATGGGAGCCCTAGCACACGCGTCCTCTGGGGAAGGACACGTAGTCATACATACTGACTCTAGGGCAGCCATAGACTCTCTCAAGCTCAGCTCACCCAAAGACAATATCTACCTCCTGACCACGATTCTGACACTAGCACACAGAATATTGGCTCAGGGTAGAAGAATTGTCCTTAACTGGGTCCCAAGCCATATAGGGATCAGAGGAAACGAACTTGCTGACAGACTAGCAGTCTCTGGCAGGGGTATGCCCCCTAGTCCCATGATCTTACCACCTAGCCATACTTTACTTCGGAGGAAGTGTACTGGTGTCGCCAACTCCTTCCTCCTGCAGCTTCACAGAGAGACAACGAGAACCTCCCACTCGGCCAGATGGTATTCAGAAGCGACAGGCTATGAACCTCTGGCACTCTCTGAATCAAAGAACAGAGGTACCGAAGTCATTCTCCACAGAATGCGCCTAGGTTACCACTGTACTTGGCAGATAATTGAAAACCTTGACCGAGAAGCGAGGTGTTGCATGCATTGCGGCGAGCCGAACGCCACACTTATACACTACCTAGAGAATTGTGTTCACACACAATTCCTGAGACAAGAACCGCCGACAACAGCCGCCGTGCTGGTAAAGAGACTTTGCAATTCGCTTACCCCGTGGCAGCAGGAACGCCTCTTGGCAATCCCACCGCCACGGTAAGCGTCGAGTTACACAGATTAAAATGAGTCAGCCCTAAAAAGCTGACACAGGCCGGGCCATAGCCGAAGGCCCGGGCGAAGCCAGACTTCGCAAAACTCAATTGCAATTGCAACGGTTCTTACTCCTGAACGAGACTCGTCTGACTGAACTAGTGAGCAGAGTGAAACCCCACGGACTTCAAGATGGCGTACCAAACACCACCTTACACTCCACATAAGAGAGACGTGCTGCCAGAAGAGACATCTTCTAGGAAGAGGAGAGCTGTAGGAGATGCTGAGAATAATGAAGGAACAGGTAATTATCATTTTATTTCTTTTAATATCCTTATACATACATATATTATGTGATTATATAACATATATAGACTGCCTTCCATAAAGTCTATCTTATATACACAATTATATACCTAACTTCCGCTTCCGCTTCCTCGGAAGTTCAGTCTCTATTCCTTTTCCACTAATTCACATCTAACATTCATTCTGTTTGCAAATTAACCTTTTATGGGAAATGTCTAAATCAAATGCACAACTATACTAGCATATTATTTGCAAATAACTGAGGCTGCAGAAAACTAAAACTTCAATTTATTTTTACAATCTGGTACGACCATGAAATTGTCAATCCACTTACCTAGTAAATAATTTTCTCCAAATTCCCCCGTCTCAAATCGAGTACGTAGTGCACAGTGGGACCAAATGCATCATGAGTACTGCCAGGATATCTTGTGTTGTAACTTGTTATTAGTCCATCTGCATTGCAAACTATCTGTAGATTTAATGCATGAAACCTTTTCCTGTTAACATAAATGTGTTCATCAACATATGGTGCTTTAATTGGAATGTGAGTACCATCTATGGCTCCTATGACTCTCGGAAAGTTTGCAAATCTTGAAAAATCTTGGACAATCTTCATTAAGTCATTGGCACTTGATGGAAACTTTATTTCTATTCTTGCCTTTTCTGTCAACACTCTGGTCACTGCTGCAATTATCCTGCTTACACTTGCTTGTGTTAGTCCACATGAGTCACCAATCACACTCTGAAATGTTCTACTAGCATAAAAGCGTAAGGCCACAAGCACTTGTGTGTGGGTTGGCACTGCGTGTGACCTCCGTGTTCTTCTTCTCAAATATGGGTCCAACACCTCACAGAGCCACAAAATTTCATGTCTTGGAAATCTATAGTACCGCAATAATCATTATCATTAACATGCAAAGGATCCAAGGGGTCCCTATAATGTCTTTCACGTTGTAAAGCCCGATCATGAAGATATGCAGCTACCAACTCCATGATGTGTTTGTCGTCTGTCAACACTGTTGGCACTTTGCAATATCTTTAAATAACAATAATTAAGCAAAGAAGGCAAAGAAAACACTAAATATTTAGATTTTCAGGTGTATTAAATGCATAAAACGGCAGTGTGTGGTCAAATAAAGGCTATATAAGTTATAACGACTATGCAATCGAGATATAAACAATCACTATATCCGGTTTGAAACCCTTACAAGCGCTCCCGAGCAGTTGTAACTTACAAGGTACTTTACAATGTGTGACGTCATAACATGGCGGATATTTTTGTTTCGAGTATGGCCTCGGAGGAGTTAAAACATTGTAACTGCTCCGATGCTAGATACAACATTGTAAACTGTTTTGAGTATCCCGCCCCAGGTCCGTCCTTTGCCCAAGCAAAGAAATCCTGAAATCCTGAGCCTGTCCAAAGGAAGCCTGTGGAAACAAGATCCACAGGTAAACAAACCATCAAAAGGTTTTCCCAAGATGCTGGAAAGGGACAGCCTAAAGGTGTGGGGCGGACCTTAACCACAGGTGCTGCCAAACACCTTATGAAGTAGCTATTGAACCTGAAGAACTGGATACCCTAATCTGATGGAATTGTCGGGGAATTCATGGAAAATGGGAAGGACTGCAATGTCTGATAGCTTTTTGTAATCCAGTTTGTGTATGCCTACAAGAGATTATGACTAGGGAAAATCGTCCGATTTCACTGAGAGGATTCCAAGTTCAAGCCCATTATGGGACCTTTGATAATGGACCTCATGGAGTAGCAGCAGTGATGATACGTCAGAATATTCCCTTCCAGGCCATCCACCTGCAGACAACACTGTAGGTGAAGGCCGTGAGAATAGGCTTGATACGACCTTACACTGTTGCATCCATCTACCTCCCTCCACATAATCTCAACATAGATGATTTGGAAGATTTACTTGGGCAGTTGCCTCATCCATTTCTACTCTTGGGAGACTTCAATGGTCACCATCACCTCTGGGGAGAAACTTTGTGCAACCCTCAAGGAAGGGCCTTGGAGTAGATGCAATTTTACTGAACAGTGATGCACCCACACATTTCCAAATTCAAACTGGGACATTCTCAAATATTAACCTGTCAGTTGGTTCACCTGATTCACATTTGAATTTTAATTGACAGGTCATGGAAGACTTACATGGAAGTGACCACTTTCCAATACTTTTGGAAGAGGTGAATGGCATTCCAGCCAATGGAGTGCAGAGATGGCGACTTAAACATGCAGACTGGAATCTTTTTAGATCAACTGCAGTATTGCAAGCATCTGTGAATGATTTCCAGAGTTTTCAAGATGTTGATAATCACTTCACATCGCGGATTCACCTTGCAGAAGTAGCGGGCAGTACTGTCGACCTCCGGTACTATGGTGGTCTGATGAATGCCAACAAGCTGTCAGAGCAAGAAAAGCTGCATTAAGGTAGTTGAAACGACGCCCAAGCGATGTAACCTTGATCCAGTACAAAAAGACCCGAGCCAAGGCCAGGCGAGTGCTAAAGGAGGCTAGACGGACATCGTGGAGGCAGTATGTCTCCTTGATTAACTCTGGGACCCCCTTAGCATGGGTATGGGACAAGGTGCATAAGATCGCTGGAAAGAGCACATCCATATCACCACCTGCTCTGAAAATAGATGGCATAATCCTCACAGACAAAACAGATGTTGCAAATGAGCTGGCGAAATCCATGGCAGAGATCTCGTCTGGAGCATCTTACACTGCCCGATGCTCCACTCTTCGAGCTGAACAGGAACGACACCCAGTGTCGTTCTTCAGTAGCACTGCAGTAGAATTTCCATACAACTTGCCATTTTTGCGCAAGGATATGGACTCTGCTTTGCAGCTCTGCTGTAAGACTGCCCCAGGAAGTGACGGTATTCCATACCAAATGATATCTCACTTACCAGAGAGCTCCCAAACGTTCCTGTTGGATCTATTCAATAGGATCTACAGGGAGGGAACAGTGCCATCCACATGGAAAGAAGCTATAATCATTCCTGTCCCTAAACCTGGCAAGGATGCTTCCATACCAGGGATTTATAGACCAATTTCTCTCACCAGTTGTATCTGCAAGTTGATGGAGAAAATGGTAAACTTCAGGTTGACATGGCTGCTAGAAAAAGAAAACGTGCTGACCCCATATCAATATTGGTTTAGAAACTTGTGAGGATGGAAACTGCTATACAGAATTCCTTCTTCTTTTACCTTGAAAAGGCTTATGATACGACTTTGAAGCATGGGATACTCATGAAGCTGTATGATATTGGTTTAAGAGGAGCATTGTCAACCTTCATACAAAGCTTCCTTGCTAACAGGAAGTTTAGAGTGAGGGTGGGAAACAGCTTCTCTAACCTGGAAGATCAGCTGAAAGGAGTCCCACAAGGGAGCGTCCTAAGTGTGACCCTGTTTGCCATTGCCATAAATGACATCGTTAAGGTCGTTCTAAGTGCTGTCTCATGTAGTCTGTATGTGGATGACTTTACACTGTACTGCTCAGGAGGAAGCTTACAGGATGTGCAAGGACACATGCAGACTGCAATAAATCAGGTTGTGCAATGGGCAACATACCATGGCTTCAAATTTTCTCCAAGCAAGACCATGGCTATGCATTTCCACAAACGAGGAAAGTTTCACCCTTCCCTCTATTTAGGAGCAAACCCACTACATTTTGTCCAACAGGTAAAGTACTTGGGTCTAATTTTTGACTCAAGGCTTACGTGGGTGCCTCACATTAAACAGGTAAAGGTGAAAGCTACAAAAGTATTAGTATGTTGCGGGTTCTTTCCCACCTATCTTGGGGTGCAGACCGCACAATGCTTCTGCGACTTTACCAAGCACTTATTCGTAGTAAACTTGACTATGGATGTGAAGCTTATTCATCTGCAACTCCCACTGTTCTCCTGATGTTGGACTCGGTTCATAATGAAGCTCTGAGAATTTGTATAGGGGCTTTCAGGTCTTCACCTGTAGAGTCCCTGTATGCTGAGAGTGGTGAACCACCTCTTTCATTACACTGGGACTACATGAACCAGATTTACTACACGAGACTACAAAGGATTCCGGGATCTCCTACATCCAGATTGGTTTTCAACCCCCTTGAGGATAGCCGATCCTATGGTAGGAGAATGAGGAATCTTGTGGAAGATCTTAATTTAAATCTCACAAAGGTTCTGGCTGTTGGAACTTCACAAGTCCCCCCTTGGACTAATCAAGTCGAGCTTGATTTGGTCGGAATTGGGAAAGGGGAGAGATCCGAAGCAGAAATCAGAGAGATATTTCTTCAACACACTTCTAAGTACCAGGGATCATATGCAATATATACAGATGGTTCGAAATCTGAAAATGGTGTGGGCTTTGCAGCAGTGAGCAGAACGAAGACTGCATCTAGCAGTCTTTCTCGATCAGCCTCGATTTTCACTGCAGAGTTACATGTCATCCTTGCAGCAATCAAGATGACTAGAGGTCTTACGAACAATTCTATTGCAATATATTGTGACTCTCGTAGTGCCTTGCAAGCAATCAAGAGCTTAAACTCATCACATCCACTGGTGATGGAGGTTCAAGATTGGCTTGCATTGATGTCAGCACGTAAGAAGATAACTTGTTGGTATCAGTGGGAATGAGCGAGCTGATCAGAAGGCCAAGGCAGCTGCCGCTCAGCCTTGTGATGCTCGTTTTACTCTCCCACACACTGATTTGAAACCCAGCATCAGAAATTGTCTTCGTGATAAATGGAGGGAGAGTGGAGGCATACCTATAGAAATAAACTATGAGAGATTAGAGATGACCTTGGCAGTTGGGAGACCAGCATCCACCGAAACCGACAAGTGGAAGTTGTATTAACAAGGCTAAGAATTGGGCACACTAGAATGACTCATGAGCCGATGATGGCTAAAAGTGAAGCACGCTGTGAGGAATGCCAAGAGCCATTAACAGTCGCACATATAGTGGAAAGATGTGCAACATTCTCAGACCAAAGACGAAGGTGCTTGTCTCCCCCATATACACTGAAAAATATATTGGGGGAGGATTGTGACATAGAAGGTCTTATTAGTTTCCTTAGGGAAACTAATATTTTCAATTAAAATTTAATTATGCATAATGTTTATGCAATAGTTTTTAAACATTTAGAGCATAATGTTTATGCTTTGTTTTTTTATATGATATTTATTGCTCTTCATAAGATATATTGATAGATTTTTAATGTTTTAAATATTTTAAATATCTTAATATTTCAGTCTAACAAGGTGTTCGCCGCTAATGACCTTAGCTATTGACGCGGCAGATAATTTTAACTAATCAATCAATCAATCACACAAATACAATTGAACGAAACTGGAAGCCAGCAAACGGATGCACCCTTTTCTCCTGGCTGGGGCTCAGCTCTTTCTTCCAGACAGATAGAGGTAAAGCCTTGGGGCTAATCGTAAATATATTGTGCAATAGGTAAATAGTCCTATGAAGGGGTGGGTTCTGGGGACAGAGCCCCCGATAGGGAATCAAGTAAGATTACTTGGTTACGTTTTGTGTATAAACGTGGTTCCACAGCTTGCTTTTTTGTGTCTATTTGAGAAACGGAAAGATGTTGAGAGATGATTTGTTTGGTTGTTTGCTTTTGTACTAGATAATCAACAATGAAATTGGCAAGATGGTCGCGATGTCATACATAATTCTCCTTCGTAACTGTAAAGATGTACCTCAATAGAGCGCTTGCTTTGCATGTGACAGGTTCGATCCCCAGCATATCCAGTATCTATATAATTAATATAATTTAATTAATTCCATTCGCAACTATGATTATTCTTATGTTTGATGTGTCAGGCCCCATCTATGCTTTTAAGTTACCCACTGCGTGCAACGAATGGCCAGGGTTATCAGCGACCAGCGGCGTGGGGTTTGTACGCAGGTCAGCACGACTGCTAGACGAGAACGCTACCACTGCGCCATGCAGCACAGTTTTATAGCAATAATATTG